TATATATATATATATATATATATATATATATATATATATATATATATATTTCACATGTATATATATTATCGGTGAAATTAATAAATTCTCTCCTTTTATGGAGACCGATTATTAAAAAAAATTGAAGATAATGAATTGAAAATGAAAAATTCTTTATAGTTTCTTTTATTCTACTTCGCTATTCACTTCAATCATTAGTCGGAATTCTCTTTGATTCATTATCAATATTTATAAGGTATTCATGAGAAAATGAAATTTAATGAATTCCATTTCTTCATTTTAACAAATGAATAGATCAGCGTGCGCGAGAGCGCGCGCATAGATCTTGTACATAAAAAAATAGCAAAGAATAAAAATCGGAGGTGATAAATTTTATCGGATTAATATAATGTAATAGTAATAATTGATAATTCTTGAACTTCTTGCAATTGTTAAACGGAAAATAAAAAAACTGCTGACCTTGTGAACTGGCACAAGCATCGGCCAATGACTCGACAGAAGCCAAATAGGGATTGGCGGAAACAGTATTTTCTTGATTACTGCCACCACTGGACGAGGTACTGGACGCAATTGAACTCCCCGAAAGTGGCCTTCCAAGCTGCTTCTTCTGCCTCCCGCACAATGCCTGCTCTGGTGTTAATCTATTATTGTTATACTTTGTCTTGGCATCGCTGTTGTTAATCATCGTGCATCCCTTCGTCCCCTCATTCCCCTCCGGTCCATGGCAAACAGTTACTTCTGGCATTTGATTCTCCTCCATCGTCAGATGCTTTTCCGTGTATCCTGCACCACAGATCTGACCGAATATGGTGTTACGCTGGGAATGCGCTGCAACCAGACTCAGACGCTTCTGTATTGCTGCTGGTATTTGATCACCACTGTGATTATTTGCTTGATCCTTACGCGCCAACTCGTCAAACATACCCAGCAGTTGGGGCACGAGATCCGTTGATGTACCTGAAATGGCGAAAATAAGAAATATATCGCAGAGATCGGCTATGATATCATTTTCTAGAATACTTTTACACTGAGAAAAAACATTTCTAAGAAATATCAATTCTACGATTGATCCAAATCGTTCATCGATTGAATAGTCGCAAAAGAAAACGCTATTGTAGCACTGAGAGAAAAATCTGAAATTCGATTTACAACAAGAAAATAGTTGAGGCAGTTTTGATGAACGATACGATTTTTTTTGTATGCGGCACAGAACATTATAGAAACTTCACAAGCGTAATTTTTGCAAATCAAAATGCAGTTAAACTGACCAAAGTTCAAAAGTAACCACGACAAATCTATCGTGAGTAGAACTATAAAATAGTTGCAATGACTACATTCCATTGTAGTAATCACTTCTCCGGCCATAGTTACCGTAACCCATGCAAAATTGTTCAGGACTTTTTGACTATAATTCGATGGTGATGGAATATAGTCAGAAGAATCATATTTTTCTCTCAGTGAGGACACAAATATCGATTTGAACTAAACCAAAATTGGATTGTATGAAATCGATTTTGTTATAGTATCGTATATTTTGTTTATTCTATCGAATTTAGAAAATACATGTTTTTGCGACAAAACCGATTTCGTACAATTCAATTTTGGTTCAGTTCAAACGCTTCGGATTTGGCGCAAATAATTTTTTTTTTCACAATTGCAATGAAACAATAATCAGTTCAAATGATGAAGAATTGCATTTGTCGTAAACAAGAAACTGCTCACCGCGAAAGTCTCGCATCAATGAGTATCCAACAATATGTTCCTCATAGAGCAAATGAATATTTTATTGCATCTATGAATTCTGCTTTCAATCGAACAAATATTGTTTTGCGGGATATCGTGACGCTGATAAATTTGATAATTACATGCTTTATTCGAAGAATATATCTGATAATGCAGACATTGATTTGTATGTACTGAAAAGTAGATAGTAACAAAAAAAGTTTAGGTAACTGATCTCGTTCTTTTTCAATCGAAAACATTAAAATTAAATCGATATTTGTGTCAGACAATAGCATTTTCTTTTGCGACTATTCAATCGGTGAACGATTTGGATCAATCATAGAATTTCTATTTCTTAGAAATTTCTTTTCTCAGTGTACGAAATACGTATGAAAAAATTCAATANCGCTATTGTAGCACTGAGAGAAAAATCTGAAATTCGATTTACAACAAGAAAATAGTTGAGGCAGTTTTGATGAACGATACGATTTTTTTTGTATGCGGCACAGAACATTATAGAAACTTCACAAGCGTAATTTTTGCAAATCAAAATGCAGTTAAACTGACCAAAGTTCAAAAGTAACCACGACAAATCTATCGTGAGTAGAACTATAAAATAGTTGCAATGACTACATTCCATTGTAGTAATCACTTCTCCGGCCATAGTTACCGTAACCCATGCAAAATTGTTCAGGACTTTTTGACTATAATTCGATGGTGATGGAATATAGTCAGAAGAATCATATTTTTCTCTCAGTGAGGACACAAATATCGATTTGAACTAAACCAAAATTGGATTGTATGAAATCGATTTTGTTATAGTATCGTATATTTTGTTTATTCTATCGAATTTAGAAAATACATGTTTTTGCGACAAAACCGATTTCGTACAATTCAATTTTGGTTCAGTTCAAACGCTTCGGATTTGGCGCAAATAATTTTTTTTTTCACAATTGCAATGAAACAATAATCAGTTCAAATGATGAAGAATTGCATTTGTCGTAAACAAGAAACTGCTCACCGCGAAAGTCTCGCATCAATGAGTATCCAACAATATGTTCCTCATAGAGCAAATGAATATTTTATTGCATCTATGAATTCTGCTTTCAATCGAACAAATATTGTTTTGCGGGATATCGTGACGCTGATAAATTTGATAATTACATGCTTTATTCGAAGAATATATCTGATAATGCAGACATTGATTTGTATGTACTGAAAAGTAGATAGTAACAAAAAAAGTTTAGGTAACTGATCTCGTTCTTTTTCAATCGAAAACATTAAAATTAAATCGATATTTGTGTCAGACAATAGCATTTTCTTTTGCGACTATTCAATCGGTGAACGATTTGGATCAATCATAGAATTTCTATTTCTTAGAAATTTCTTTTCTCAGTGTACGAAATACGTATGAAAAAATTCAATAGAAAACCTAGCGAATTGGCGAATTCTATTGGAATTCTATAGGAATTCTATGAGGTTTCTACAGGATTTCTATTGGAATTATATTGAAAAATCCGATTCGTTTTTTGCGCTGGTTCTGTCGGATAATAATTAACTCGCAGTCGGATTGGCCATTCAATAAGAAAAAGTCAATAGATTTCGAATTTCTGCTTGAATTTTTCTCTTGAGAATTTTTCTATCAGAATGCTTGGGCATCAATTTTCCAAGTTTTTTCATCTCGGATTCTGCAATAAAAAACAAAACAAAATCCAGCGGAAAAAAATTGAAAAATTTGTGCCAATACTTTTAATAGAAAAAATCTAAGAGAAAAATTCAAATAGAAATTTGAAATCTATTGACTTTTTCTTATTGAATAACCAATAGAATCAGTGCAAAAAACAAACAGAATTTTTCAACAGAATTCCAATAGAATTTTCTAACGAATTCGCTAAGTTTTCTATCGAACTGTTTCATGCGTGTCATTATATATTATCGGATTAATAAGTAATAATAAAAACGTGTTTTCATTGCATTGTCAATGAGTATTGTATTGTCAATGAGAATTTCAATTATTTTGGTATTTTCAATTTGTTAATCAATTGATAATTACCCTTGGGTATTCTTCATTACGATGCCAATCAATAATGGAATATTAAATATTCGAATTTCTCGAATAATGAAAAATCGTAATTGAATATTTTTTTATTGATCAAGTTTTTTATTCGTCTTTGAAATTTTAGAAAATCGAGTTTTTTATATCTAACAAATGTGAAAGCTGAATATTTCATTAGATATTTATTTAGAAATGCAGTTAATCAGACTCGATGATATTACATCAGTTAAAATCATTGAGTAATACGTGCAGAGATTGGCAATAATATTAGTATCATTTAATTAATGGATAACATCAAAAAAGTATTTTTTATTGAATTGTAGATGAGTTACTGAGAATCTCAATTATTTCAATAGCGTATCAATGAATAATCGGATTTGAAAATTTTCAATTTGTTAATCATCCGATAATAATAATAATTAGATATTCTTCATTATGATAGTAATTGATAATGAAATATGAAATATTTCCATTTGTCGAACAGTGGATAATATTGATGGTCAAAATTTTTATTAAACTATTAATGAAAAATTATGATTGAAGATTTAAAAAAAAAATTACGTAATTTCTTTTATTCATGTCAGAAATTTAAGAAAATGGAGGTTTTTCAAAATGCAGTTAATTTAACCTGATGACATTACATCATTTATTTCATGAATTAATGATTCGATTGTTTCCATTCAGTTAAAATCACTAAGTAATACGTGCAGAGATCGGCAATAATATTATTGTCGATAATGTTTTCACCGGAATGACATACGATTTGATTGCTGAATAACAAGAAAGTATTTCTCATTAAATCATAAATGAATAATTGAGGATTTCAATGATTGCAATAGCGTATTAGTGATTCATTCAATATGTAAGTCTGTGATCCATGATTCACTGAATCGACGCTGTCAGTATTATAGTAATTTTCTCATCTTTTTGACACGAAATAGAGGATTTCTTGAGGCGAGAAATTGTCACTTTATCGCCAAGTGTTTCAGTTCTAGTCATGAACATTTCACAGGCTTCTCATCCGTTCTGACTCACAAGATCTATGCGCGCGCTGATCTATTCATTTGTTGACATGAAGAAATGGAATTCATTAAATTTCATTTTCTCATGAATACCTTATAAATATTGATAATGAATCAAAGAAAATTCTATTAATGATTGAAGGGAATAGCGAAGTAGAGTAAAAGAATCTATAAAGAATTTTTCATTTTCAATTAATTATCTTCAATTTTTTAAAATAATCGGTCTCCATAAAAGGACAAAATTTATTAATTTCACCGATAATCTATATACATGTGAAATATATATATATAATATATATCTTTCACATGTATATTTCCTATAGGAAATCCTATAGAGAATTCGAACATTTCCTATAGGATTTTTCTGATAGGATTTCCCACAGGATTTCCTATAGGGTTCCCTATAGAATTTCCCATCAGATTTATAACCCTAATCCTAGCCCTTGTGACCGATTGGTTTCGAGTCTCAATTTGATGTGTTACTTTCTACAGAAAACCCTATAGGAAATCCTATAGAGAATTCGAACATTTCCTATAGGATTTTTCTGATAGGATTTCCCACAGGATTTCCTATAGGGTTCCCTATAGAATTTCCCATCAGATTTATGACCCTAATCCTGGCCCTTGTGACCGATTGGTTTCGAGTCTCAATTTGATGTGTTACTTTCTACAGAAAACCCTATAGGAAATCCTATAGGAAATCCCACCAGAAAAATCCTATAGGAAATGTTCGAATTCTTCATAGGATTTCCTATAGGAAATCCTATAGGCTTTTTTCATACGTGTGGGGCTCTATGAAAGCTCGGATGTTCCACTACAAAAGTAGAAAAACATTTCATTTAATATGCACGGACAAAAAAATTCAATAGAAAACCTAGCGAATTCGCTAGAAAATTCTATTGAAATTCTATTGAAAAATCCTATTTGTTTATTAGCGCTGATTCTATTGGATATTCGATAAGAAAAAGTCAATAGATTTCGAATTTCTTTCCGAATTTTTCTCTTGAGATTTTTTCTATAAGAATGCTTGGGCATCACTTTTTGAAGTCATTTCCACTTGAATTCTGTAATGCAAAACAAAACAAAATCCAGCGGAACAAACTTGAAAAATATGCGCCTAATAATTCTAGTGGAAAAAATCTCAAGAGAACAATGCA